AGAAGAGAGAGAGAGAGAGAAAGATAAAGATATTAATCGAAGTCAGCGAAAGTATTCTGGGATCCGCTGCGTCGACAGATCGACGCGGTCAGTCTAATAATAGTCACGACAAACCCACGATGATTCCGAATGAATCAGATCAGATCGCGTTAATTAACCGTTTTAAGAAATAACGAAAAAACTCCAAAAAACGTTTCTCACGTACAACAGCATTCATGGTCTACACGTGTCGGCCTACACGTGCCTCCCGACAACCTCGACAACCTCGGCTATCGAGAGGACGTCGTCGTATAACAAAAAACAAAAGAAAAAAAATAAAAAAAAAAGAAACAGAATGAAACAGATTCGCATACGAATACTGTAGCTGATTATATTGACACTTCGCTGCTTCGAGAAGCTGCAGTCTACCATGTATATATTTTCATTAATGTATGTATAATAAAAATATATTCGAGACAAAATGTGTAATGCAATTATTATTTTGCGCGCGTGTCTTTTTCGTCGCGATAACTAAATAGCGAACAAAGAGAATTTTTTTATTGAATCGCCATAGATAGCTCGCAGAATCTAAGAAACATGATCAACAAGATGTTCACCATTGTCGTCAATCAAGGTCGGCGACATTGTAACATCATCGAGGAACTATTTTCTGCATCTTTGAAAGGAGAACAGGATTTATACTGCATTAAAAATCACGAAGGACTGACGGAAGTGAATTGTATTTTGAATTTGATATGGTCGAACAAAAATTATGTCGTTTGATGAGGATTCAACAAAATTATTGTTCTTAATGAGAAAAAATCGGAAAATATATAATACACAATGTATAACAATCGTAATTAATTCTTCTTACATATTTTAAAAAATAGAATAAATCATAGTGAAGGATTATGAAATTCTAACATCCGTTACGATCGAGGAAATAATTACAATGTAAATTACTTGCAAATGTGTCAAGTTTGTAATAGAATAGTCGAGATAGTAATCGCGACATATATCATATCATTTTTATATCTGTTATTAAATGATTTCTTAGTTTTGGATATTTGATAATTCCTTCAAGAATTCAATAAACATTGATAGAAAGTAAGAGAGAAAGAGTTTTAAGATGACTTTTTAAAGAGCTTATTAAAAATCTTTTAAATCAAAAGATTATCATTCTGACTTTTAAAAAAGTTTTATGATATTTACTTTTATTAATAATCTAAATTTTTATAATAATATCATCAATTTCTTGTCATTATTTCTATTTAAAAAAATTTAAATAATGATTGAAAAATATTAATTTTTTAAAATTAATATCTGATGAATTAATTCTTCAAGATAAATTCTTCAAGATAAATTCTTCTTCAAGATAAATTTTAAATATTTTTGAATAGTTTTAAATAGTTTTTTTTACATTTTACAATAAACATTATTCTAATGATTTTAAACATTTGATGATTTTAAACATTTCATAATAATTATATTTATTTTCTCTTATGTCTCTTTTATTCTCTTTTTATTAAATTTTATATTTAAAATCATTTAATTGTATATTTTAACTGTAACTTTAAATTTAAAACATTATTATAACTTTAGCTGTCTTCAGAAAAAACAAATAAAAATTATATATAATATATAAATATTTGATCTATGTAAGGATATTTGGTAATAATCATATTGTCTCTCGTGAACAAATATAGCACGTTGCTATTGAGTTAAAAAATTTGTTATCATCTTGCAAGTTTTGCAATAATTAATGAATTATTAATTTATGAAACAAATAAACGTGTATTCTTGCGAAGGAACAATTCATTAGCATTCTACGTGTTCACGATTATTAGATGCGCATATTAAGTCAATAGAAGGAAAACTGTATGAAAGTAACAATGACTAATTATGAAAATATAATTATGACTTTCTTGTTTTCTTTAATTAAAACAAATAATTTTATGTAAAAAATTATTGTTGTATCATTTTCATATCATCTTGTGGCAGATAGCATGAAATATTCTTTTTAAAATATTATTCTCAGTAGATCTAATCCATTCTTATTTAATGCAAAAATTACTCAATCAAAATAGATCACAATACATAAAACCTATGATAATATATGAATTTTTAAAATTAGGGCATATTTATAATTTGATAGAAAAACTGAAGAAATTGCTTCAGGATTAATAACAGATATTATTGTTGTTATAAAGTGCGTTTTATTAACTTGTCAATAAATATTATAGCAATAATAATTACATATTATGTGATTAGGAGTGAAACAATTAGTAATTAATTTTATAAAATGAAATAACATAAATAGCATATTCATTCACGAATAGTGAAAAGAACTCTTATCTTATGAAAATACGTACATTTGC